AGATTGGGAAAAGTAAGATAAATAGACTTTTTATAGTCTATGTATATATATTACTGTATACAGGGCTTTCTTTTCTGCCGGAACGCGGCGGTACTGCGTTCCGCCACCTTTTTCTTCTTGTCCCCGCATCACCGACTGGCCTAGTCTGCAGAGCTGACAAGCTATTGCAGAGCAGCGAAAGTGGACAGGTTGCCGGACGCGGCTTGTTTATGTCATGCTTGCGCGTGCCCGGCACCTGTCACTGCCGCTGCTCACAGCGGTTAGCGGTGAGCGGGGACATGCACGCTTCACCCCCCCCCCCCCTCTACCGCCAGCGTGTAAACATCGGGGGCGCGGACGATGGGCGAGGACACTATGCACGCTTCACCGCCCCCCCCCAGCCGGCGTGTAAACATCGGGGGCGGCGCGGCGACATCAACGGCGCAGTGACAGCGTTGGACGCAGGGGCCCGAAGTACAGCTTGGAGTAGGTAAGCTGCGCTCGGCTCCCTGTCACTGACTGCAGTATCATGTATTGCTCTAAATTTTACTCTCTCCCCAGCCTGTGCCCACCTAAACTATCCCAACCACCTGTGCCCACCTTAAAAATATCTGAGCCCACCTAAACTAACCTCACCCACCTGAGCCCACCTAAACTAATTTCAGAAACGCAATTGCTCAGCGCTCAGCGGGCGCCGATCGAGAGCGCCCCTCCTGTGCATGAGGAACAGGAAGATTAAATTCAGTGATGGACGGTATTTTTTGGAGGAAAAGGTGGCAACCCTAGGGGAGCCTGTAGGAGCAGGCACATCTACCAGACAGGGTACACATGCATGCTAGACTGATTTTATATCTATGCTGGACGTTTACAAACGGCCCTGCCATGATTTTATATCTATGCATGTGTTCCCCTGGTGTCAGTACGGTACTGATTTTATATCTATGCGTGTGTTTCTGGTGTCAGTACGGTACTGATTTTATATCTATGCATGTTTTCTGGTGTCAGTACGGTACTGATTTTATATCTATGCGTGTGTTTCTGTTGTCAGTACGGTACTGATTTTATATCTATGCATGTGTTTCTCTGGTGTCAGTACATTAGTCATTTTATATCTATGCATGTGTTTCTGGTGTCAGTTACGGTACTGATTTTATATCTATGTGTGTTTCTGGTGTCAGTACGGTATTCATTTTATATCTATGCATGTGTTTCTGGTGTCAGTACATTAGTCATTTTATATCTATGCATGTGTTTCTGGTGTCAGTACATTAGTCATTTTATATCTATGCATGTGTTTCATGCAGATCATGCAAGAGGCAGCCGGGGGTCCGATGACATCATTTCCCTTATATGGTATGTACGGGAAATGATGTCATCGGAAGCCCCTCCCAAAAATTTTACTTGCATTCCTGTTCTCTAAAGGGGTGGTCCTAGGGTTTGATGGGGGCCGGGGGCCAGGTTTGGGTGGGGGAGTTCCACCACCTTTCCTCTGAGAAAAAAAAAGCCCTGACTGTATATATATATATAGTTGTGTTCAAAAAATAATAGCGGTCAGACATCACTAACCTGATCAATCACTGTTTTTGGTAGAAATGATATTTCTACATGGCAAATAATTTACTAGCAGGTGTAGTAGAGTAATAGAAATGCAACAGACCCAACAGTCATGACATGCAGCTGCTGATTCTGTGTAATTGAATCACTATTGAAAGGGCATGTTCAAAATAATAGCAGTGTGGAGTTTATTAGTGAGGTCATTCATTCTTTGAAAAAACAGGTGGCAATTATTGCCCTTATTTAAGGAAGGAAGGCAGCAAATGTTGTACATGCTGGTTACAGTGCATTTCTTTGAAATTCTGAGGAAAATGGGTCGTTCCAGACATTGTTCAGAAGAACAGCGTACCTTGATTAAAAAGTTGATTGGAGAGGGGAAAACATATAAAGAAGTGCAGAAAATGATAGGCTGCTCAGCTAAAATGATTGCAAATGCTGTAAAAAATGGCAACCAAAACCTGAAAGACGTGGAAGACAGCAAAAAACTACCATTCGAATGGATAGAAGAATAGCCAAAATGGCAAGGACTCAGCCAACAATCAGCTCCAGGAAGATCAAAGAAGGTCTAAAGTTACCTGTGAGTACTGTTACAATTAGAAGACGCCTATGTGAAGCCAAGCAATCTGCAAGAAGCCCCTGCAAAGTCCCACTGTTGAAAAAAAGACATGTGCTGAAGAGGTTACAATTTGCCAAAGAGTACATTGACTGGCCTAAAGAGAAATGGCCCAACATTTGTGGACTGATGAAAGTAATGTAGCACTGCCCCTTGGGACAAGCTGGAATATATTATGGGTCCTGCGCTCAATAGATCCAACCCTAAGCAAACCCAATCCCTCTGGCACAACTGGTAATGAATAGCAAATACCCCGCCAAGAAATTTGCTGACACAGGGTTAAAAATGAAACAAGAACAATTTTATGGAGAATGAAATGCAGTGTAGAGGGGTGGGGTTCCCCTTTCAACTTCAAAACTTACTTTTCTTCTTTGTGCAATGCAGTAAATTTGGTCTGCCACTAGAGGGCTTCACAGCCAAGAGTCTCCGGATGGCAGAGTTGCACTTTAAGCAGAATACAACTGATATCAAACAAATAAACTTACTTATGCTCTATCAATAAAATGTATTACCCACACCGGTGTATGATTCTGCTTCTGAGGGGCGTGAGCCAAAAATCACCTCAGAGTCAGAACAGAATGCAATAAAGAGGTACCTCTAATAAAGGCTATTAAGCCAGATTCCCCCACTTCAGTCCTTGTAACGGTGGAGCTCTAGTTGGTGCATCGTTTAGTCCTTACAATGAAGTAAATAGCAGCTGAAGGCTTCTTTGGAGTTTCAGCTGGTGTGGGTTACATCAGATTTCACTAGGTTTCTGGGCTGAGAGGGTCCAACCTCAGTGTCTAAACGCAACACAAAAGCACCCCAAGACCAGGGGCAGTCGCAGGATGCAATCTCCCAGTATGCGTCAGTCCCCGGGGCAGACAGTCTCAATTACACTGGTGGTGAGGGGCAAAACAGGCAGGGGGATCTGTGGCTTGCACAGGGCCCCGGAATGGGTGAGATCCCAGCAGTGGGGTGCGGATGTCCCAGTCTATATGCAAAGTGTAAATGGTGTGTCTTACTTTCATCCCAGTGGGACAGCTCACCAGACTCTGAACACACAGCAGGGTCCCTCTATCCGCGCTGGGTGCTGTAGTGCCTCCTCCTCTGCTTGGACGGGCTCCACATGTCCCTGTCTTTTCTCCAGCCTCGTGTCTCTCTGTTCTCCCCTTCACTTCCTGCTTCCCTCCCTTTCCCAGCGTTCTTTGCTGTGTAGTGGATGAGTCATGAACTTGGGCAGAATGCCCAGGTTTTACAAATAGGGGAGAGAGAGGAAGGACTGACTTCTGAATCCTCTTATACAAGGAGCCTGCTACACACTCCCCCCACCAGAGAAGCTTTGGTCCCTCCAAAGACAGCAGTAAAAGCAACCTGTTACATGCTTTTTATATACACGCGGAGAAAAAGCAAAGTTAGTACACACAGGAAATAAATTATTCACACTTGCCTAAGAATCTGGCAGAGGAACCTCCCACCATGTAGCAGAGTGAGGGTTGTCCTGCCCATAGGCCACACTAATGGGAATGGCCCAACCAGATGTGCCAGGGGGTGAGTTGGGGCTGTTCTCTACCGAAACTGCTGTAGGAGAACCAGGCGTCCACGAGATTCCTTTGAGAAGCATGTACTACTTCCTCAGAGTTTTTCACCCAACACATCATATGTCAGTCTCTTTGGGGGTTGAATAACTCTACGCTCTCTCTGTTCTCTGGGCTCTAGCAATGGTTCTGGTGTTGCTTCCGATGTTTGGTTCTGACACTACTGACTCATCAACCCTCGCTTCTTGCTCGACGCTCTCTGTCTCTCCCCAGTTCAGCTTCCTCCACATCTTCTCCCTCATCAACAATGGACCACCAGTCTTCAGGTTCTTGCAAGTCTTCTGCAGGTTGGGCCTGAGGCACAAATTCAGGAGCCTCTGGCCTAAGAGGAACTACGTCAGTCACTCCAGTGGAAGAAGGAATGGTTGGGTTCGGAAATGTCAGATGGCCACAGCAAATCTTCCCTACCTCCTCACTCTCACTGTCCTCTTCATCTGCAGGAGGTGGTGTGGGTTGAGACCTGCTCACAGATCTAGTCCTCTCTGAGAAGGTGAGGGGGTTAGGTAGACTGTGGATCAGATTGTGATGGTAGACGGACTGCATCTGACAAAGGCAAAAGGTGGTTGCGGTGCCAGGTTTTGAGTGGGCCAACACCCTTTCCGGTCGAATCTGGTAAACTGGCAATCCAGGCAATTGTTTGCAGATGACATTAGGGCTCTGATCGCCACCTATCCGCCAACTTGTGTTTTCCAGGGATACCCAGATTTCTCAGTAAGTCTCCAGATTGTAAGTCCTGTACTCGCACTCTGAGATCAAAGTTCTCTTTGTTTCTCTGACCCCTGGCATCTGAGGTGGCTTGAGCCTTCTCATAAGCAATCTTCCAGGGCTTTTCCTTAGGCGGTCCACATATCCTCTATGGGAAGCTGCAGAGGTATGGTCTACAGAGGTTCCAAAAGCCAAGTCTACTGGCAGTCGGGCTTCCCGGCCGAACATCAGCCGGGTAAGGAGAAACATCCTGTAGCGTCGTTGGCAGTGCTATTGTAGGCATGTACGATGGCTGCTACATGCTTACTCCAGTGTTGCTTTTGCACTGAAGTCAAAGTCCCCCGAGCATATTCAGGAGGGTACGATTGAATCTCTCTGAAGAAGCGGTCTCTTACCAAACAAAAAGGTTCTTTCTGGTCCCAGATGGCCATGGTCATCATTAGAGATGAGCGAAGAAATGAAAAATTCGATTCGACTGATTCGGCGAATTCGTGGACAATATTCGATTCGAGTCGAATAAATTCGCTGTGAATTTAACTTAAAAAAGGGTGTTTCTAGGCTTCAGAGAGACTTAATATTAGTGCAGAACACTGTACCTTTAATTTAAATGCCCTTGGAGTCTGCTGGGGAAGAGAAATAATACTGTCAGTCAGTATGACATGCAGATGAGTGCCGTCGATCTTAGAATCACCGCACACTTCACTCATTTGGGCCAGTCACGGGGGCCAAAACCAGAGTGTGGAGCCACAAGTGTGGGGCGGTGGAGGCAGCAGCAATGGGAGGCCATACAGCACCCTATGACAAAAATGGAAACCACCAGCAGTGTGAGGAGACCTGAAAGTGGCACATGGCAGAGTGTGGCGATAGAAGACAGCAGCAATGGGAGGCCGTACACAGGGACCCATGACACACTCTGGACCTGGCAGCAGCATGAGGAGGCGGTACAGGGGCCCATGACAGATTACGGGCCTGGCAGCAGCATGAGGAGTCGGTACAGGGGCCCATGGCAGATTACGGGCCTGGCAGCAGCAATGGGAGGCCGTACAGGGACCCATGACACACTCTGGACCTGGCAGCAGCATGGGGAGGCGGTACAGGGGCCCATGACAGATTACGGGCCTGGCAGCAGCATGAGGAGTCGGTACGGGGGCCCATGACACACTCTGGACCTGGCGCAGCAGCATGAGGAGGCGGTACAGGGGCGCATGACAGATTACGAGCCTGGCAGCAGCAACTTGGACAGGAGGACGTTCAGCTTCTGCACCGTCGGGTGCGTGCTCGCAAACTGTTGTCTCTTGGAAACGGATTCCAAGAAAGACTGCTGACGGAATCCGTGAAGAGGAGTAGCAGGAGAAGGAGCATCTGAACGAGCGGAATATGCCAACAAGCGACAACAGTGGCCCATGACAGATTACGGGCCTGGCAGCAGCATGAGGAGTCGGTACGGGGGCCCATGGCAGATTACGGGCCTGGCAGCAGCTATGGGAGGCCCGTAATCTGCCAGCACCCTATGACAAAAAATGGAACCCACCAGCAGTGTGAGGAGACCTGAAAGTGGCACATGGCAGAGTGTGGCGATGGAGACAGCAGCAATGGGAGGCCGTACAGGGACCCATGAGAGACTCTGGACCTGGCAGCAGCATGAGGAGGCGGTATAGGGGCCCATGGCAGATTAGGGGCCTGGCAGCAGCTATGGGAGGCCCGTAATCTGCCAGCACCCTATGACAAAAAATGGAACACACCAGCAGTGTGAGGAGACCTGAAAGTGGCACATGGCAGAGTGTGGCGATGGAGGCAGCAGCAATGGGAGGCCGTACAGGGACCCATGAGAGACTCTGGACTTGGCAGCAGCATGAGGAGGCGGTATAGGGGCCCATGGCAGATTAGGGGCCTGGCAGCAGCTATGGGAGGCCCGTAATCTGCCAGCACCCTATGACAAAAAATGGAACACACCAGCAGTGTGAGGAGACCTGAAAGTGGCACATGTTTGGGGCATGATTCATGGCGGATTTAGTCAGTTGTGTCAGGAACTGGTGGTTTGAAATCCAGACTAATCCACGCCTGATTCATTTTCACAAACGTGAGTCTCTCCACACTTTGGGTGGACAGTCGTGTCCTCCGCGGAGTTGCAATACCTCCTGCCGCACTAAACACGCGCTCCGATGCCACGCTACTGGCCGGGCATGACAGCCTTTCAAGGGCAAATTCAGCTAGTTGGGGCCAAAGGTCAAGTTTCGTTGCCCAGTAGTCAAGGGGATTGTCTACCTCGGTTGGCAGGGTGCTGTCCAAGTAGGCCTAAGCCTGTTGTTTGAGGTCCTGCTCCAGGTCCACCTGATGCTGCTGCTGCTGCTGCGGCTGGTTAGTAGTTTCCTCACTGCGCTGGTGAAGAAAGCTACTCATCATCGACTGCAGACTGAGGCAGCCGCTGCTGGTGGAGCTGCCACTGCTCCCTACCACCCACCCCTCCCCTGCTGCCATGGCAGCGGAACACGAGCGCACAGGGCCCACAGTGTCTGAGGATGGACGTTGGCGCAGACAGGCAGAGACCAGCTGACTACATAGGTGTTTTTCAAGGTGGACAGCCAAAAGTCATCCCTCTGTCTGATGGTTATTATTCGGCTGTCGCTACGCAAGCAACCGAGCATGCTATGGGCCATTTGTGCCAAGGAATGCGAGGGACTCCCTGCCTCCATCTCCACAGCATACTGCCACGGTGCGTCTAGGTCCTCTGTCTCCTCTTCCTCCTCCTCTACCAGATGCTCCTGCTCCTCCACTCCTGTCCGCTGAGTGGAAAAAAGATCCACCCATTTCACTCAATAATTCCTGAGCAGCCAATGTCCTCCTCTACCTCCTCCTCTTCTTCCAGTCCTGCCCCCACAGGGGCCATGTGGCGTTGAGATCTG